CCGTTCCCTCCTGCAAGTGCCCATTCTCGGAACCCCTGCAGGGAGGAAGGGACTCAAGGCGTGGTCCAGAGGCGTATATGTTTTTTTGCAGTCGCGGAGTGCTTGTGTTGCCCTTGGCCAAGATCGACGTTTTTTATCAGGCTTTGGCGCCAATGCTGTTATGTCTTCAGGTTCTGGGAATGGCCCGTGGAACACCAGCCCGTTGCCTTTCCGCTATCGTTTCTTACCGAATACGTCTTAAGATATGTCGATGCCGTTTGCCATTTTTTGGGGTACCGTTTTGAAGCCGTTTTTGTAGAGTCGAGCGAAAATACCTCAGCGCTTTCAAAAACATGAGCCGGGCCCCGCGGGCTCCTGCAGAATTCGGTGGCGACATCTGGACCCTGCTTCTGAGGCCCTATCCCCGCCGCCCATCGAGTTGCCCCAACCGTTGATCGGCGAGGGCACAGTCAAGTCGCGCAGTAAGGATGAGCAACTTTCCAAGGCTGGCCTCGCAGCCGTACCCCTTCGGCCCATCCTCGGCGACTTTCGCTGGCCAGCCCTGGTCGAAAAGGCCAACTTTTGGCCCTCGAGGCCCCTGCACTCGCACCGCGCACCCCTACTGCGTGACTCGACTGCAGGGCTCCTCGGAGACCCCGCTCCCACGCCCCGGCTCCCCCGCCCCCTGCAGCCCGAGACCCGAGCTCCCCCAAAAGGGCAGGCGCCGCCGCGGCGGGCGGCCCCCCGCAGATGTGCGCCGCTGGAGGACGCCACACCGTGCTGCTCCGGAGCGATGGCGCCGCCGTGGCCTGCGGGGGCAACGGCGAGAGCCAGTGCGCCCTCCCGGCGCCGGCGGAGGGCCTGAGCTTCACGCAGGTGGCCGCTGGATCGCTCCACACCGTGCTGCTCCAGAGCGATGGCACCGCCGTGGCGTGTGGCTGGAATTCGTTTGGCCAGTGCGACCTCCCGGCGTCGGCGGAGGGCCTGACCTTCACGCAGGTGGCCGCTGGAGGACGCCATGCCGTGCTGCTCCAGAGCGATGGCACCGCCGTGGCGTGTGGCGGTCAGGACGAGGGCCAGTGCGACCTCCCGGCGTCGGCGGAGGGCCTGAGCTTCACGCAGGTGGCCGCTGGAGGACGCCACACCGTGCTGCTCCAGAGCGATGGAACTGCTGTGGCCTGCGGCAGTAATGGTTATGGCCAGTGCGACCTCCCGGCGCCAGCCGAGGGCCTGAGCTTCACGCGAGTGGCCGCTGGAGGAAGCCACACCGTTCTGCTCCAGAGCGATGGCACCGCCGTGGCGAATGGCTCGAATTTGTTTGGCCAGTGCGACCTCCCCGCGCTGTCAGAAGGCCTGAGCTTCACGCAGGTGGCCGCTGGATGGTCCCATGCTGTTCTGCTCCAGAGCGATGGCACCGCCGTGGCGTGTGGGGGTAATGGCCATGGCCAGTGCGACCTCCCGGCGCCAGCCGAGGGCCTGAGCTTCACGCGATTGGCCGCTGGAGGGAGCCACACCGTTCTATTCCAGAGCGATGGCACCGCTGTGGCATGTGGCTGGAATTTCTACGGCCAGTGTGACCTCCCGGCGCCAGCGGAAGGCCTCACTTACGTAGCGAGTCTTTTGCCCACGATGCTCTTGCAGGCATCTGTCGACAGCGGCTCGATGTGCTTCCTGACGCTGGGTGGGGTGGAGCGTTACCGATTTGAGGCCACACCAGACGCTCACATGGCCATCATTCACGAGCAGCTGACGGCCACTCACCAGGTGGGCTTGCTAGGCTCTGGACTCGTGCAAGTCGACGCCGTTTTGCCAGGGGGCCGACTGTTGAGCGACGCGTCGGTCGATGAGACAGTGGCGAGTGCCTTTGGGCTCCATCCACGTTAAGACACCGTGCAGCGTGAGGGCCTGGACGCCAAGGCTTTTGCCGAGCTGACTGCCGAAGAGCAAGTGAGTGCGACGTTTTGGAAGAGCGTTTACATGCAATCCGCTGCCGCACATGTGCGCCGTGCTGTGGGGTAAGAGGGAGGAGGGGCCAGGAGGGTTGCTGGAAGGGAGACATGTCGTAGGCCCGCAGCACCACACCAGGAGCTTTCGTTTATGCTAGCATGTTGAGTGTCGAGGGCCACAATCGCAGGGACTTGAGGCCAGACATGGCCTCATGTTCGGCTCGATTCCTCGGCGGTGGGCACTACCCACTGCTTCGCAAGAGGCGAAAGCAACGAGAAAAGCCAGGGTGCTGGCGCACACACAACACACACACACACACACCTGCACACAATCTTCCCCCCTCCAGCGATGTGAACCACAGTCGCGGCTGAAACGAGCGTGCCGCGCAAGCTAGATTACATTCGATAGAATGTCGAACGCGGTCGAAGTGGCGCCGTGGTATCTTCGGTTGGGGGTTGGGGGTCAGGCTAAGGCGAGCAGAACGAACGTACAGGCGACGAGATACAGGCGACAACGTACGGCTTGTGAGCAAACGTTGACGGCGAGAGATGTGCGCGAGCGGCGGCGTAGCAGCACATACAAAATGTGTCCTCCGACTCGGCGGGCATGAAGGCTACCAGGGACGCTGCGTCGAAAAAGACACCTACGTGGGCATATGCGAACGACAGGCCTCCCAGTGCGCGTCGGACGTAGCCGACAGCTGAGATGCAGGTGCAGACGGTGCGAGCGGAAACAAAGACAGCACGCTGGGACAAGAGAGGGGCACCCACGCTTCCTCCTCTGCTGGCGATGCCAGACTACATCTAGATAGAACAATCACAGGCACGTTATCGTCTTACCCAACGTTCTGGATATAGGCCAGTCTGCAAGAGGCTCACACGCAACAGCCGCTTCACAGCGGGATGGCGGAATGCTTTCTGACGGAATGGCATTGCAAGTCCTGGGCGTTTCCTGGGGGAAGCGTAGGTTTAGAGACGATCAGGGCCTCAGAAGAAAAATCTGGGCGCCGCTGCATGATACAACCTTACATAACAGCTTTGAGCGCCGGCACCTCAGCAGACTTGCCTGACCACATCAGCCAAGCTGTAATTCCTTTCAGCCCCGCGGTAAGACCTGTTCATCACCGCGGTAATATTGTTGCAGCCCCGCGGTAAAACTTGCTTAGCCCCCTCGGTCTCAGCCCCGTTGCAATAATCTTCTTTCAGCCTCGCGCTGTACATTTTCAGCCCCGCGGTAATACCGTTTCAGCCCTGCTGTGATACAGTTCTTCATTCCCTTGGTAATGCGATGTGCACCGCCGCTGGTCGCGCATTGGCCAGCCAGCTTTGGGCCGATACGATGTCAGAGGGAGTTCACATTCACATCATTTGATGTGAGTCCTTTCGTTCCGTCCCTCTTCATCCCTCTCTTCCTCTCAGTATTGTTCCTCCTTCTCTTGCCTTTGATGACCGCTGTGGTTCGCAAGCTGTAGGTGCGCAAGTGGTGTCAGGCAGTCTTCCACATTTGAGGTCATCTTCCGAGCAATGCTTGGAGAGACCGCTTGGAGGCGCAATACATGGAAATCTCATCACAAAAGTTGCTTCCCAGCACGCTGCCAGGTGCCGCACGCTGTCCTGGAGAGGGGTTTCAGAGCCCCGCCGGAGTCGGCAGGCAGAGGAGCTGTCCTGGGAGGTGGCCGATCCTTGGGCTTGGCATCGCTCGTGCGTGCGCCTTTATTTCTCGGCTCGGACCATCGAGGAGCATCTTCGATCATCTTGCGAACGTATTAGCGCACGACGCCAGAGACTGCACGGGGAATGGACGTCCGAGCGATGGACAGTGGGGTAGTGTAGACAATTTGCTCGAGTACAAGTCAGCTGCGACCCCCTCCCTCTTGCAGGCCGGCACGCGCGCGCAGGTCGGCCACACGCAGGGGGGGGCAGGGGAAGGGGGGGGAGGCTTCTCAGAAAGGCCCTTGCTTCTTAGAAGGCTCAGGCCTTCTCCATAGATGCAGGGCCGGTCCCTTCGAAAGAGCAGCCTCCTTCTAAGAAGCCTTCCCCGTGCCCATCCCCCCTGGTGCGCGCCGCCAAGCAGGGGCGAGGAGGACACGGCGGTTTCGCCGCTCCACCTCGCAGAGCCAGTGCGGGAGACGCGAGAGAAGCAGAGAAGCTTGCCCCCTCCCCCCGCACGCGAGTCCTTGCCTCTCGGAGCGAAGCATATCTGAGCGTGCCGCGGTGTTTTAGGAGTGCCGCGGGTGAGTCCTGCAGATGCTGGGCCGACTTTCCACCACCTCCCATAGGTGGGATGGGGAAGGTCCTCATCCTCCTCCTTTTCCTCCTCCATCTCCTACCTATGGCAGTGGTGTTGGAAGATCGGCAAATCAGGAGGGCCCCCCCGTGGTGGGTCTTGGGCGCCGTGCGGCCCTCCTGCGAGGCCCTGCGACGATCCTGCCCCGCTCTAGCCGCGATGCTGCCATAGCCTGGAGGCCTTGGCGGAGGCCTTCGTGAGGGGAGGGGAGGAGGCAGGAGGGGCGGGGATGGCCAGAGGAGGGCTCCTCCTGATTATCTCAGGAAGGAAAACACATTTTTCCAGGCGTTGCGCGGCAGAGGCAACCCACACGCGCGCTCAAGTTTGCCAGGCTATGGCAGGCATTAGTTGTTCGCCGTCGGGCACGACAAGAAGACGACGATGATGCCGACGACAGCGACGACGACTACGACGGCGGCGGCGGCGGCGACGAGGACGACGAGGACGACGGCGTCGGCGACGACGACAGAGAAGACGACGACGACGACGATGCCGACGATGACGACGATGACGACGATGACGACGACGAGGACGACGACGAGGACTTCGAGGACTTCGACGACGACGACGACGAGGACGATGGCGAAGACGACGACGACGACGACGACGACGACGACGACGACGAAGACGACGACGACGGCGACGACGACGACGACGACGACGAAGCGCCAGCGACGACGGCGACGACGACGACGAGGACGAGGACGACGGCGGCCACGGCGGCCTCGGCGGCCGCGGCGGCGGCAACAGCGGTTGCGACGGCTGCGTCGGCGTGCCGCCCTGCCGAGGCCACGGCGCGACCTCCCTCGACAGCTCCGCGAAGGCCAGCGGCCGCTCGCGTCGCGGCGGCGGGCCTTCTGCGGGCTCTCAGGGTGCCTGCGGGGGGCCCGCAGGGGCCGCGAGGGGCCCTCGCTGCACCCCGGGCCCCATCTGCGGGCCCACTGGGGCTCCGAGGGCCCGCGTGCGCCCTCCGTGACGGTGGGCTCACGGTGTTTATGTCCTGCCTTGGACAAGACAGACCGCTGCACGCGCGCGTTCGCTGTCACCTGCGCGCGTGCACGTGTGTAGCGTCGTCTCTTGCCCAGGAGAGTCATGTCGCCATGTTGCCTTGGAGACTGAAGTGAGCCCTTGACATTCCAAGTCAGCATAGATTATGGTGTATGTCTCCTTCCATGGGCAATACAGATCGCTACACGCGCGAGTGCGCGTTTGCAGCGGTCGTGGATTACCCAGAGTTGTAAAGTCGGCTTGCTGCCCTGAAAACTCAAGTGGACCCATAACGGTGGCCGATTGCATTTCCAAGTTGTAACATGTCCTTTACTCCCGTCCGGGTCCGGCGTGTCCGTGCCGGGCTCGCCAATATCGACCATCGCGCCATTGATGCGCTCTCGACGCGATGAGACACCTGGCGCGGTGTTTCATGGGCTGCTCTGGCTGGGATAGGTTCCTGGCTGTCCCCGCCCAGGCTGATACGTTTTAGGTGGGAATTCGTATCGATAAGTCTGTGTTTGGATTCGCGCTACGGCTCGCCTTTTGCAGGTTGGCTTGTGCGCTGGTCTCAGTGTTTTGGTCTCTCCGCTGCCTCTGTCCCCCCCTCTCCTCCTCGCCTCCTCCTTCCCCTCCGCCTCCTTGGAGTCGAAAGTGTGTACGACTTTTTGCTGGTTTAGTCTCGTGGCGAATCCAGTGGAATTGGGTGTTTGTGCTTTTGTTGTCCGCTAGGGGGGGCAGGATTTGTCCGCCCGGAGCTGGGCCAGCAGCTGTCGGCAATGTAGTTGTAACCCTTGTGGATCGCCTCAAGCATACAACTTGTTTGCATTGTTTGCCTGCCTGTGTGGAGTGCATTCCGGTTGTGCATCGTCTCCCCCCACGCCCTGCGGGGTGATCTCCTCCCTTGCTCCGTCCGAGGTAAAACAAAATGTTCTGGATACTGATTCCTGTTGTAGCCAATGCAGGACGCTCCATGCGCGCGTGAGTAGTGTTGCGTATTGTCAAAAGAGCAAGTCGCAATGATGCCTTGGAAACTAAAGTGAACCCTTCGCGTTGACCGAATTGGTTTCCTCAGTTAGCACGCGTTCTGGTGTATGTTCTTTCACGGGCCAAGCAGCACGCCCCGCGCGCGCTTGAAGACGTTCACGTTAGCATGGGGTCTGGTGTATGTATCATACCACGGACTCTGAATACTGCAACGCGTTCACGCGCGCGAGCGCGCGCAGGGGACCATTGTCATCCGTGCACGTGCGCGTGCGTAGGGTGGTGTATTGTCGAAAAGAGTGAAGCCGCCATGTTGATTCGAAACCGCAGTGAGCCCTTCGCGGTGACCGATTGGATCTCCAAGCTATCATGGGTTCTGGTGTGCCTGGAAGGCCTTACGGCGTGTGCCGCCGACCTTGTATGCGGGACCCTTCGGAAGACCCGACACGGGGGAAAAGACAGCATTCGGACAGCGGACGGCCCACACGGGGAAACGAATGGTTCTGAAGAGCGGGCGGTCCAAGCGGTGAAAACGCATAGCTCCTTCACGCTCCCCCTTTGGCAGCTCGGACACAGATGGACGATCCAAGTTGGGAAAACGCTACACTCGGACAGCGGGCGGCCCGAACGGGGAAGACACGTGGTTCTGGAAAGCGGAGGGCCCAATCGCGGATAACATACCATTCGGGCAGCGGACGATCCAAGCGGTCCAAGAGCGCATTCAAGACTGCCGAACAGTACAATTCCGCTCGGGACGTCCTTCAACAAATGATCCATGTCTAAGATCGTATGTCGAAAAGGATGTTTCTGATATCGTCTCTACATCTATTTTTCAATGCCCCAAGACTGCTCAAGATAGCCCGAAGACAGCTCGAGAGTCTACAAAAGCTGCCCAGGAGGGCTCCAAAGACTCCCCAATGATGCGACAAGGGCGAGGGGAAGAAAGGACGTCAGAGGAGGAAGAACGGTGAAGTCAGCTATCTCGCGCCGTCCCAAAGTAAATTGCGCTTTCCGTGCCCGTGCCAAGCAGGTCAAGTAGCCTTCGGTCTGTCCCGCCACTGTGCCTGGGTCATGGACACGAGGCCGTGTGGATGCTTTTTGGGGCCTTGGGGGGGCCTCCCGGGAATCCTGGGGGCCTACTGGGGGTGTTTGGGGGCCTCTTGGGGGCCTGTTGGCTGTCGCCGGGGCCAAAGTGGAGGGCTCGAAATTGCAGTTGGAGGTCCCCCTCTTTGGCTCCTCGGGGGGACCTCTTGGGCCCATCTTCGGGACCCTGGAGCCTCTTGGGTCGTCGTGGACGCTCTTGACTTCGAAAAGGCGCGTTTGCAAAGCCATGCAACAAAACCATAGACTGCTCAATGACTTTGGACTTTTGGGCCGACCCACAGGGCCCCTCAGACGGCCCAAGAGAGGTCCCGAAATGAGCCCCGAGACGGTCCCCAGGGACCATCTCAGGGCATGGTGGAAGGGCGTGTTCCGAACCACGCTCCCGAGACCTCTGGGAAAGTTACGCGAGAGAACCTTGGAGTGCCCGGGACTTCCGGGAATCCGTTCTCCCAGACCTTTGGAATAGCCTTTACTGAAAGACTGGCCTAAGATGCGAATCAGTGGCTCCAGGTCAGTGTTTTCTGGAGCGCTTTCGAAGGGCCGCGACGCCCGATACGACCTTCAGACCCAGTGGCTCTCGGAGATTCCTGATTTATCATTATCCGAATGCTTCCTCATCTTGACTTCCTCTTATGTACATGTCATTTCAACACGGAGAACTCGAAGGGTCCTGATGTCGCTCCACTTCGCTTCGTGGCTCGGGGCTCGGTTGGCGGGTAAGCCGTGCAGTGTCGTTCCTGGCAAGAGCAAGGGGCCCGCGCTCGTGAATTTCCAGGTGCCGGAGACCGGGTCGCGTGCCAAGACGGCGGTCAGACCGTGGAGGCACCACCGTCGGCCGGGCGATCAGCGCGACCGTTCAGGTATTCCTTGGTGTGCCTCTCCGCTTCCTTGGAGGCAGCACGGCGAGTAACCTGGTCAAGAGTACGGACAGGAAACCGACCGGGGGCCCGGTGCAGCAAACGTGGCCTCCGGCCGTTCGGCCAGGCTGGTTCGGTCGGCTCGGTTCGAGACCTGGCTCTGGGGCCCCACGGGCCTACGGCCAGCCCGGCGGCCACCGTGAGGTCAACGACAGTGTGGCATCAGGGGCAACGCTCGGGGGGGCAGGCTCAGGTCGGGGGGGATGCATCGACCCCACTTGCCCATTGATCGCCGATGGGGGTCTGATCTCTCGGCGATGTACCTTCGATTCCCGCTCGACGTCTGTCCCTCCCCTGAGCTGGTCCCCACCTGTCTGGGGAAACGTGAGGCTCGAGTTCGCCAGGATTCGGATTTGCCAACGCCTCTTGACGGGCCCGCCTTGAACTTTGACGGCCCAGTGTTGGTGGGATGTCTGCAGCGGGAGTTCGCGCTGCAGTTCAGGTCGGACCCCGCCATCTCCTCCCAACAACCCCGTCAGGCCAAGACCAGTCCCGGCGAACCCAGAGGGCGTGAGGCCGCGCGGAGGGTCGGCGGAGGTGCGGCCCTGCGCGAGGCGTGGTACTGTGCTGCGCGGCCTCGCCCGCCAGGCGGCACGTTGGAAGAAGCTCTTCCTGTCGTACGACAAGGACAAGAGCGGAACCATAACGTTCAAGGAGCAAGGGGGGAGGGGCCTGGACGGTTCTGCGTGCCCTCGGCCTTCCCCCGTCGCCCTCCCCTTCATCCCCGCCCGTCGCGACTCCCCCCTCGGCCCAAGCGCCGCCCCATGTTGAGTGCCAGGAGTCGGGCGGGGCTCCACCTGGGTGGCGTAAGTCGCGGTGTCTCGGACCCCGCGCGCCCCCAGATGTTCTCTTTGGCCAGGGTCTGTTTTTGGCGCCGGTCTTTCCCCAGGGAGGAGGCGCCGTCCTTCCTGGGGTACGTCTTCACAGGCGCGTTGATGTCAAACCAATCCCCCCTCGTTCCCCCTACATGATGCTACTCTCCCTTCTCCCCTGGCTCCGTGCAGAAGATATTCGGCCCTTTCCGCGTATGGTTTTCGACCGGATTCCTCTCCACGCACAGTCCAGTCATTACGGGGCCTCGTGGCAGCCTCTTGGGGGCCTTTTGGAAGCCTCTTGGTGGCTTCTTGGGGCCTCTTTGGGGCCTCTCGGGTTTTTTCGGGGTCTCTTGGGGACGTCTTGGGTCGTCTTGGGGCGCTCTTACGTCGTCTGGCCTCCTCGGAGGCCATCTTGGAGGCCTCTCGCGGCCGCCTTGCGGCTTTCTTGGGTTTTCATGGGCCGTCTTGGACAGTCTTGGGGGCCTCTTTTGGCCATCTCGGGGCCCTCTTGGGCAGTCTTGGAGCCCCCTTTGGGGCCTCTTGGGTCGCCTTTGGGCCTTTTGTATAGGCTGCTTGGGCCGTCATGGCCTTGTGAGAGCCGACAAAAGGAAGAACCCTAAAATCAATCAAACACCAACGGAACATCAATGATTTTGGCCTCTGCCGTTCTTGGGGATCCTCTTGGGGCCTGTTAGGCCGCCTTGGGCCGCCTTGTCCCGTCTTGAGGACCGGGGCTTCTGGGCGGCCTCCTGGGGGGCCCTTGGGAGCCTTTTGGGAGCCTCTTGGGGGCCTCTTGGGGCTTCTTTGGGCTCTTCGGGGCCTCTTGGAGCTTATTGGGGAGGTCTTGCGCCGTCTTGGGGCGCTCTTGCGCCGTCTGGCCCCTTCGGAGGCCATCTTGGAGGCCTCTCTTGGAGGCCTCTCGCGGCCGCCATGGGGCTCTCTTGGAGGCCCCTTGGGCCGTTTTGGATGCCTCTTTTGGCCGTCTCGGGGCCCTCTTTGGCCGTCTCGGGGCCCCCTTGGAGGCCTCTTGGGCCGTCTTGGGGTTGGGGGCTGCTTGGGCTTGAACCCCCCCCAGGAGGGTGGGGGTTTCGGGAGGGGGTTTAGGGGCGAGGGGAGTCCTCCTGGTTCTGATCGACGGCGCCGAGTGTTTGGGGGGGGTAGGGGGCGCCCCCCTGGTTCGAAACGCGCCGCCGAATGTCTCCAAGGCAAGCGCCCGTGAAACGCGTTCTTTCCGTTGTCTGTATCCTATTGAGATCGCGAGCTGGAAAGTCAGCATGCCTTCAAGTCGATTGATATTCCTGCATCGGTGGGACCTCAGCGGAAATGCCCCCGAGTGCACCATATCACGTTGAAGACCTCCCAGGGTTCATAGTCGCGCGCTGCGGGTGGCTGGCGAATGGGGCCTCTTGCTAACAGTTCGCGCGGAAGTGCGTTTGACGCTCGTGTTCGGGGCGCCGTTCGCATTTTGATTGCTCCCCCTGACATCAGAGGACGCACGGCCGCCATCAGAGTGAAACCGTTTTGCGGGGATGCGTACACTGTGGCTCTTTATTTTCTTCCGAGGTCGCGTGGCCAGGGAGACCAGATGCAGCTGGCGTCGACCTTTCTACCAGAGTGAATGATTTCGGGCACGGCGTTCTCTCGTCTCTGCCGCGCCGCGCGTTTCCGATAGTTGCGGCCGACCTGAACGACGAGGCGGGGGCGGTGAGTGGCAAGCGCGGGCCTATGACCATCGACGGTGCCACATGGGTTCGCGCGGCGGAAGTGCGGCGCACCAAGTTTGGACTTGCTTGCGTGAGCTGGCGTATGCCAGCGCTGTCTTTCAGCGGCGGCCCAAGCCATTGCGGCGCGCCCCAGAAGCCTCGAGGGCCAGGATCGCCGCGGCCCTCTGCTCTTCGAGGAGGGCTCAGCTCGACGTCGCCGCGCGACCAGGATCCGCCTCGCGCGTCGACGGCTACGGAGGCCCGAAGGTCACGATCGCCGCTGCTCTCTGCTCCTCCAGGAGGGCTCGGCTCATCGTCGCCACTTGGTCAGGACCTGTCTTTGACTGCGACGGCTTCGCGTCGCAGGTTCGAGGGCCGCGGTCGCAGCCGCCCCCTGCTTCTCTCGGAGGGTTCGGCTCGTCGTCGCCACCTGGCCAGGGTCCGACTGCGACCGCGACGGCTTCGCAGGCTCGAGGGCCGCGATTGCCGCCTTCCTCTGCTCCTCGAAGGGTTTGGCTCGCAGTCGCCAGATGCGCCTGCGGCTCGTATTTTTCAGCAGTCGCAGAGCACGAAGCCGCAGCGCGTTTCCCGGCTAGATCATGTCTGGAGTTCGACGGCCCATGTTCCTCAGGTGCGGCGGTTTACCCGGGCGTCTCGGTCTGCTCGACTTCTTTGGGCTATCTCAGACGGTCGCCCAGGTGATGATAGTTTGTGCGTCCTCGAGATTGACCTTGAGCCGTGCCGGGTGGGCTCAGGGGTTCGCGAGCGGCGGGGCATCGCGGCCCCGGGCAAGCGCTTCGTCGCGAGAATCGCGCTGTCGAGTTTCGCTGGGCGGTCGAGGGTGCCATGTCTGATCTGTTGGCAGGTCCGTCCTTCCAGCCTCGCATCAAGCTTTCGCTCGGGAGCGCGTTCGCCCGCTTGGATTTCGGGGTCGGGCTTGGGCGGCTGTCGCTGACCATCTAGACGATATACTTCGGCCCCCTCGCCCACCCCGGCAGCGCCACGCCACGCGTCGTCGATTGAGGGGGCAGAGGGAAGCGCTACGCCAGCCCACGGGCCTTGCATCGGAGGAGTGGATCATCTGCGGTCTCATGGCTGGAGCTCGCGTTGGACCGCGTCGTCGCCGGTTCGGGCGCATTGCTACGCGTGCCCCTAGCGTGGAGGAGCGGGCGGGGGATCTAGCTGCGCCGCCGAGTCAAGGAGAGACGTCAGCTAAACCCACTGACGGCAAACAGTTCCTCGCGCGGGCATAGAGGCACGAAGTCGGCGACTGTCCGTCGAATAAGCAAGTGGAGCGGGGTCTAGCAGATCCTGAGCGTATCTCGACAGGTTTCCGCGCTGCGCGCAGACACTGTGCAGCCGCGCCCTGGAGCGCGCCCAACGAGGCCTGGCCCCCCCTCCTTCGGCGCCCTGAAGTACGCGACCGCGTCGCCGGACTGGGGGGCGGCGTTTCTGTGGGGAGGTGGATTGCGGCTGTCCTGACTCAAGTGCGTCAGCGCGGCCGTTTTGCGGCCCAGTGGAATCAGTCGTTTACCTCCCAGCCGCTGAAGGATAACGGGAAGTTGATGACCCTGGGAGCCCGGCTTTTGCATGGGCCATGTTCTTCTCGGAAGATTCGGGCCAAGACGGCCCCCGAACTGGCGCGTGATATTTGCTATTGTGACAGCGGTGGTTTGCCGCGCCGTTCGCGCGCCGGCGCAGCGCTTGCCGCTGCCGCGTTGACCCGGAGGGTCCCAGGCTGCCGAACGAGCGGCCGCGGCCCCGCGGCACGTTTCAGATTGACGGGAAAAGCAAATCTTGCCCCACTGCGTCGTTCATTACGCGAATCTTTTTTTTTCCTCGGGCTTCCTTCAGCCCTGCGGGCGCGAGATTCCCGGGCAAGTTGCCCCCGTGGTTCCGTTCCTACGGACGATCTAACTTCGCCCGGGTCGCGGGCCTCAGGGGCGTCTGCCAGTCGCTCTGATGTCGGCCGAGGATGGGGTCATATGCCATGCGCCGGTAATGATATCAGTGTTCTTCCTGGCGTTTGACGAGATGGCGTTCCGCAGTCGCGCGGTCAGCCCCGCCGCGTCGAGGCTGACGGCGGTCGTGCTCGCGGGGCCTCGGGGGATCTGATCGGATGCTATTGGCTACAAATATCTCACGGTGCTTCTTGGAGGAGTGGCCGTGAAGGTCACGTCCGTTGCCGCTGATGGGTCTGAGCGCACTGTCATCGGGGCCCCGCCTGCCGTCGACGTCTGGAAGGAAGGCTGGCCCCGCCCCGGCCCCCCTGGAGCTCTGAGTTCAGGTGGTTGAAGAGCGGCAGAAGATTGCCAGGTCCCTAGGGTGGCGCGTCCACAAGCTCACTGCCGCATTCGGTCGTCTCGACTTCGTGGCCCCATCGCCGTCGCCCTTCGATTGGTTCCCCACGAGCCAGTTGCGCCATCAGGACACGTCGAAGACGAAACCTTGGGCCCGTCAATCTTCCAAGGAACCGGAATATCTTGGGCGCGCGGAGGAGGAGGGGGCGGTTTGGGAGCTGACCAACGGGGACTACCTCGACGAGTTTCGGGGCGCCCAGGGGGTCTTCCACGCGTTCCAGAAGTCTGACGGTCAACGGCTCAGGGCCCAGTGGCTCTCGCGAGAGGCCCCTCCTGAGCCGGGCGAGGTTGCTGTGGGAGGGGTGGGGTGGGGGGGGGGCGGGGGGGCCTGCGTGCGCGTTGCTTTGTTGGGGGCGAGCTTGCGTGCGAGCGCCGCCCCTTCGCCCGTCGCGCACTCCTCGTTCATCAGCGACAGGCCTCAGGCGGTCAGCGTGGGGTCCGTCGGTGGTGTCTAACCAAATGACCAGTCAATTTCCAAATTTCCATTGTCTTCCTCTACCATTCGCTGTAGTGGTACTGCTGTTAGGCATCTTGTGAATACGTATCTGCATGGGCGTTGCCGCCGTTGCCGCGTGGGCTCGTCTTAATATGGCCCGCCGATCGCAGGCCCAGAGCCCAGAGGTTCGCGTGCGCCCGCAGTGTCAAGGGGCCACTTGGGCCCCTCGAGCCGCCGCAAAGACGCGCGGCCTCTCGCGCGCCGCCACCGTCACCAGACATCGTTTGGCACGTGCTCGGCGGCCCCCGCTGCGAGCGCGTCCGCGGCGAGCGCGGGCGGAGT